CAATTTCTGATAGCATGCTTTTGTATCCTAATACTTCTGCCTTCTTAAATAATTGGGATGGTCTTTTTTCTTCTGGTGGTGGTAACCTTAAAGGTCAGTGGTTCAAGCCCACGAGCACTCTGCAGGACAAAGAGGTAGCAGTCTGCTTCTGTAAAGAGTTACATCCTTGGAGCCCTATGGGACAGTTCTACTCCCCCACAGGGCTGCGACAAGTCGGAATTGACGTTAAAGCAGCTGTAGTGGCTTTTTTCTTTCTGCTGAGAGCCCTGTCGTGGCATAATCACTACACAAACAGGTCCCATAGTCTCCGAGGAGAACTAGGACCAGCATGATTGTTTTTCAAATTTTATATGAAACTGAAAAATGTGTTAATTTATTGTGTCTGCACAGAAAAAAAGCCCATAAAACATAATGCTCAGTGGAAGAATTTGGTAACAGAACTGTGCAGATGACTAGTAAAGACGCCACTTGCCTTTTTTATGAAACTGGTGTTTTTGACAAGGTTTTTGATACCATTGTTCAAAACGCATCTCCAGCCTTCAGGCGTTAAATCTGACCAAGCAGGTTTGTTCCTGCTGTGCATCCAACCTGCATTCCTTTATCCTTCAGGCCCAGAACTAAACTCAGCCAACAGTAAGCCCCACTGTCTTTGGGTATACCTACTGCCGTCAAACCAACTCATTAAGGTGTCTGAGGCAGTAAATACTTAATGATAATAGAAAGCCTCCTCTTTCTCCCTTGGATCAGTGTGTTGAGTTTTGAACTACTGATCTTGTAGTTAGCAGTCCAGTGCTTAGCCCACTAAACCATCAGAGGTCCTCAGTCTACCACAAGCAGATCAGTAAGTAGAGCACAGGACAGGAGCTGAAGGGTGAAGAAGGAGGGTGATCTTGCCGTCAAGGTATTTGAGACCTCTGGCTGGGAGTGCGTGGTCGAAGGTATTGGCTGACCCCATTGGCTGAATTAAGCCCACCTGGGCCTAGTTTGGCCCCCACAGGTGTAACCTCCCCTCCCCCACCTGGCTCGGGCTTGAATTGGCTCATGCCCAGTTAGTCTTTATGACTAGCTAAAGGCTTGTCTGATTCTCTTCCAACCTCCTGTAGGCGGCCTTCAGGCATGGAGAGGGACAACCCTCACTCCTGTTTCTTGCTACCAAAGAGAACGATTGGGAGGAGGAACAGAAACAGGGGAAGGAATACAGATGATTGATGATGTGACCTCGTGGGAATGGCAGTCCGTAGGCCATGAAACGAAATGTGTATGAATCGTTGAATGGAAAACTGAACTGTAAACCTTCACAGGAGTCACAGATTTAGAAATGTTAAAGCCGCCCGCCCATCTAGCTAGGAAACAACAAAACCCACAAGGAAGAAGCACACCAGCCTACCCCGACACGGATGCTGAATACAAAGCGGGTACATAAGCAAATGCGGTGAAGAAAGCTGATGGTGCCAAGCTGTCAAATTACACAGAATCTGGGGTCCCACATGCTGGAAGATAAACAAGGGGCCATCTAACTGAGAAACAACAAAGCCCACATGGAAGAAGCATGACAAGGCAGCGAAGGGGTCAGATATCAGGCATCAAAGTAAAAAAAAAAAATCATAACATTGTGAATGAGGGGGAGTGCAGAGTGGGGACCCAGGGCCCATCGGGGGGAAACTGGACATCCCCTTGCAGAAGGGCTGCAGGGAGGAGAGGAGCCAATCAGAGTGCAGTGTAGTAACGATGAAATCTGCAATTTTCCTCTAGTTCTTAAATGATTCCTCCACCCCACTACCATGATCCCAATTCTACCTTACATATCCGGCTGGACTGGAGGATGTGCATTGGCACAGATAGGAACTGGAAATACAGTGAACCTGGGACAGATGAACCCCCCAGGACCAGTGGAGAGAGTGGCGATAGCGGGAAGGTGAGGGAGAAAGGGGGAACAGATGACAAGGTCTACGTATGGCCTCCTTCCTGGGGGACGGACAGCGGAGAAGTGGGTAAGGGAGACGTTGGATGGGGTAAGATGATAAAATAATAATTTTTAAATTATCAAGGGTTCAGAGGGAGGGGGAAAAATGAGCTGACACCAAGAGCTCAAGTGGAAAGCAGGTGTTGTGAGAATGAGGAAGTCAACATATGTACTAATGGGCTGGACACAAATGATGTATGTACGGATTGTGATGAGTTGTAGGAGCCCCTAATAAAATGATTATTAAAAAAAATGTTTAAGCCATTTTTTGTAGAGATGGTTAGATTTGTGGCATTGATCTGCCACTTTCTTCTCTCTGTAGCTAACGCATATACTTCCCAGAAGCACACACCCCTCCAGCATGTATCTGCTTTGTGTTCTCTCTACAACAAAGGAGACTCGGCTGCTAATAAAACTTTTGTTTCCAGGATTTCCACTTTATGAGCTGTGATTGAACAGTAAAGAATTGTAACTGAGCACACCACCTACATTCACATAAATGATTTGCTAACCAGAGAAGAAAGAGTGCCAGACAGAATTAGACCAACCCATCTCCTCTTGTTCAGTAGATAAGAGCATTAGGTGGTATTCCCATCCAACAGTGTCCACCAGCTCACGAGGAAGCCGATTTCATCCCCTGAGCCCCTTTGAGGTGTTTCAGAGCTGACAGCAGTACTTGTGATTCTCTCTGGCACGTTCCCCTCTGTCCAGTGTTATTTTTTACATGATTATATGAGGGGGCTTCACAAAGTTCGTGGAAAAATCCATTATCTTTTAATACCATTTTCAAACTCTTTGAAGCGCCCTCAGGATGCAAGTTTTTGCCAAGTTTGGAGCTCAAGGATTTTGAGTGTCTCTTTATCTCGAGTGGATAAACCTACTTCTCCATCTGTTTTTGGACTGGATGATGAAAAGAAAGTGCTTGACCTTCTCAGGTAGAAAGCTTTGAGATGTAAACATTTTTACAAGGACTTTACATTTTCCCATTAGAATAAAAGCTTCCAGTTATGTACTTGCTTTATCTGGAGAACCCTCTCAGTTCTTTGGCTTGTGTTAACAATTGGGGTTATGAAGCAGAATTGAAAATAATGGTGAGATCCAATTTTGGCCATGTTGCTTCTTCAGTTTTGTGTATGCCTAGCTCTTGGCTAGAACATAAAGGAAATGCAGGTTTCTAAAGAATGGATACATAAGTATGTGTGTACTATGTCCCTGGGACCCTTGTCTCTAGTGCTGAGTTCTCCCATCTTCCTTGACATCATTAAAAAAAAAATTCAACTGCTCAGTGGCTCTTGTGAGTCTGATTTTTCTGGCTGTTGATTGTCCTCTGTTAAGTGATTTATACATTTAATTGAGGGAAATACATTCTAGAGTCTGGGCAGATGCTCATGTATTGACATTTTCAGATGATCAAACTTCAATAACAACTTCTGACTATCTTAAGTCATAACTAAAGATGACTCCTTGGTGTTATATAGATTAAAACATACACATTTCATAAAAATTTTTGATGCTGTCTTTTGATAATTTTGTTTTCTTAATCCTCAAGAGATAGGTAGATAGTAAAATGTGTTACTTTTTCAACTGTATGGAACAAATGAAAAGTTGAATTTGTTTCTCTAAGTTTATACTTGAGTAGGCTATATTTTCTATGTTTTGAGCTTTAGATCAAGACCTCGTTCTCCAGTTGTATTTAAATGACTGTGGATTGCTTCTTTTGGCTTTTCAGAGCTCGACTAGAGGCAGGGTGCTTGTCTGTTGTGTTTTCTCATTTACTTACTTAACAAGTATTAGTAAAGTACATGTTAAGTGTCAGGTACTTTACTACAACTCTGTCTGCTGGATTTGTGTTTTGTGTGTGTGTGTGTGTGTGTGTGTGTGTGTGTGTGTGTTTCAATCATTTCAGGACTGTTGGAGGAATGTGTTAATATCTCAAGATTGTGTCTTTTCCACAAAAGAAGCACCTGCTCACTGTGTTGTTCTACCCTGAGGCAACCCTGGGGGGCCACGATCCCCATCCTTAAGCCTGTCAGGATCCTGATGCTAGTGAGGCTGTTCCAGGTGTTTATGACAGCTTCTAACTTCTGCTTGTTAATTCCTGCATCCTAACTTCCTGTGCTGCAGAACCGTATGAGTTTCTAATCCCTATAGCAGCATTTTTTGAAATTCCACTATTTTCTCCCGCTCATTGTATCAGATTTGCCCTCACTTAACACTATGTGAGCTACTTACATGAGAGTCATAAATTGTGTGCTTTTTCTGATGTTTTCATAGACTTAGCATGTGATCAATAAACCACTTCCCCTCCCTGTTGTAAACACAGCTGTGTTATAGATAGTCTCTAGATTATGAACAAGTTCCATTCCTAAATATGTCCTTAAGTCAGATTTGTAGGATTAGTTGGAACATTTAGGTATGGTTCATATTATCATCCAAAGGTTTATTTTATTTTATTTTTTTATTTTTTTTTAAAGGTTTATTTTAGTGTATAGTCTGTTGGATACATGTCTATTCATAAAACATTAAAGAAATACTTCTAGATACACTCAAAACCGTTTTAGCATAATAACACAATAATAATGTTTTGATGTGAGTCACAAAGTAGCTCCTGTTTGTTATCACAAACCCTTGTATGTACCTTGAATTTGTAATATGATAGGCTTTTAAGAGAGTTGGTAGGGAACTATGGGTTGTACATAACCTGGGGACTGCCTGTACTTAAAATTGTATTTAATTTTATCAAAATCATTACCTTGGGTGGTGTATAAATGACAAATAGATTACTTCCAAATGCATAACTTCACTAGTCCTTTCCTGGGCAGAGGTGTTACTGTCTGCCATTTTACTATCAGAAAGGCTTCTAAATTGCTTCTGACAATGGCTTGTGTTGTACCCTGGCACAAACAGACACCTGATTGTCAGTTTCCTAGGTCAGTGGCAGAAGTGTCAATAAACCATCAGTGTGTGGAAGCCTTAACAAAAAACAATGATGCTTTCAAAGTTACATCCTGCTTCCTGTTTGTCTTTCTTTTTAAAGGAGTAGTGAATGTGTTGCTAACAACTCCACTCTGGGTGGTAAATACCAGGCTGAAGCTGCAGGGGGCGAAATTCAGGAATGAAGACATTGTACCAACCAACTACAAAGGTATTATTGGTAAGTGTCTCTTGGGTGAGTTCCTGTTTAAAGGTTTTCTTTTGACTTCGTCCAGAAAGCTGCATGACAAATTCAAATCTCAGTATGAACAGTAAACATCTTTAAAAAAACAAAACAAAAATACAACAACCTAGTGTACCTATGATTTGACAGACTAGATTAAATTGATTCAGGCTAATCCTGGTCAGAGCTCCACGCGTCTCTTGTCCTCTGCCTGGGACCAGCCAGAGCATGTTCGTCTCATGGTGACAACAAAAGCATAAGAGGACACCCCCAGTGGTAGCACTACGTACAAGCCCCTGCTTGCATCTTGTCTGCTAACGCATCCAGTTGGCCAAGGCATGTTACATGGCCAAGCCCAAAGTCAAGGTGTAGAGAATGATACAGCTCCCCTGGGTGGAGGGAAAGGGCTGCATTTTTGAAGAAGAATATCCTATAATTTTTTAGAGTTATATTTGGATAAAGGTACCAGATTAATATCTGATATCATTGAGTTTCTGCTATTTTAATAATAATACACTGCCAATTTCTTGTCTCCTGGTTTACATCTTGGTACACTAAAGCAATATGGAAATAACATCTTGGAATGAGAGCAACGGCTTCCTTAGAACTAATCATGTATATGCAGTGCTCCCACCTCTTGTACCAGACTGTGCTGTAAAATGTGTGGGCTATCACTTCACAATTCTCTGTAGCATAGTTTCTGGTGGAGATAGTGCTTAGTTAAGAAAACATGGCATTCTCAGAAAAAAAATATTGCCTGTGATTGAAATGGATCTCTTCATAACTTGATAACTATCAGTGTGTGATTATTTGGGAGGGGGGCTGTTAACTGATAAGCCTGCCCCAAGCTACTCGTACAAGAAGATTTGGCCAGAACCAGTATGATTGGTGTTGTGGCTACATTTCATCAACATGTATATGTCTTCTCTAGTTTGGGGATTGCCACTATGCCTTTTGAAAGTCCCTGATTTCTTGCTTAGATGCTTTCCACCAGATCATTCGAGATGAAGGCATAGTGGCTCTGTGGAATGGCACATTTCCATCCTTGCTGTTGGTCTTCAATCCTGCTATCCAGTTCATGTTCTATGAAGGTTTAAAACGGCAGCTTTTAAAGAAACGGATGAAGGTAATCCCTGATTTGAAAAGTATCGAAATGATCATCTGGTGGTGGGTGCATGGGGCTGAGTGATCATTCCTTAACCAAAACGTTGGTGGTTCAAACCCACCAGCTGCTCTATGGAAGAACAATATGGCTATTTAGTTCTGTAAAGGTGCCAACTTAGAAAACACTCCAGGGCAGTGCTGTTCCATCCTATATGGTTGCTGTGACGATGCACAACAATGCTGACACCTTATTGTTCGGACTGACAAGCTTCTTCCTTTGCTCTCCAGCTTTCTTCTTTGGACGTGTTCATCATTGGTGCAGTCGCCAAAGCAATTGCCACCACGGTCACCTATCCCATGCAGACTGTACAATCAATTCTGAGGGTGAGTACTGGGATCTCCCTGCAGTTAGTCAACCAGTATCCTAAAACACAGTGTCTCTCTGTTGAAAAGCCTCACCTCCTTTCAGCAATGTTAATAAAACAGGGAAGTAATTGATAGGCTAGAGTATTCTTCATCCATTTACCATTTGTATGATAATCTGTTGACCAGAGTAGCTATCAGTTTGGTCTGGAACAAACTTTGAATTTGCAACTTCTTAGGTAATGTGTCCTAGGTAGGTACTGTCAAATCAGATCCAGCCTATAGTGACTCTGTGTGCAACACAACAAAACATTGCCTGATCCTGCAACACCTTAGTAATCGTGGCTGTGCTGGAGCCTGCCATTGCAATGACAGTGTCAGTCCATCTTGTTGAGGGATTTGCTGTTTGTCACTGCCCCTCAACTTTACCAAGCGTAATATCCTTCTCCAGGAACTGGTTCCTCCTGGTCATGTGCCCCCATTATAGGAAACAAAGCCTCACCACCCTCCCTCAGGACTATTCTGACTGTGCTTATTCCAGGGCAGATTTGTTGACTCACCTCAAAGTCCATAGTCTAATTGCTGTTCTTTGCCAACCTCATAACTTAAATGCATCCATTCTTCTGCGGCCTTTCTTATTCACTGTGCGGCTCTCACATTTATGTGAGGCGATGAAAACACCCTAGTTTGCTACAGCTGGACCGTCATCTTCAAAGTGACTTCTTTTTAACTACCCTTAAATGAGATCTTTTGCAGCAGATTTGCCCAATGCATTATGTCTTTGATTTCTTGACTTCTGCTTCTATGGACATTGACTGTGGATCTAAGTAAAATAAAATCATTGACAACTTTAATGCTTCCTCTGTTTATTGTGATGTTGATTATGGGTCTAGTTGTGACAATTTTCATTTTCTTTATGAAGTATAACTTAGACTGACTGAAGGCTATTGCCTTTGATTTTATCAGTAAGTGCTTTACTATTCCCTTTCAGCAAGCAAGGTTATGTCATCTGCACATTGCAGGTTGTTAGTGAGTCCTGATGCTGTGTTTTTCATCATATAATTCACTGTCTCAGATTATTAGAGATTGAATGATTATGGTAAAAGGATACAATCCTGATGCACACTACTTGTCCTGATTTTAAACCACTCAGTATCCTCATTTTCTGTTTAAGTAACTGTGTTTTGGTCTTTGTACAGGTTCTCTGTGAATACAGTTAAGCATTATGGAAACCCAATTCTTACAATGTTATTCCTAATTGGTTACGATACATCCAGTCAAATGCCTTTGCATGGTCCATTAAACACAGTAACATCTTTCTGCTCTTGTCCATTGTTCAGCCAAGATCCATTTGACATCAGTAGACATATTTCTTGTTCTACATCCTCTTTGGCTTGACTTTCCCCATGTCATTTTGATTGCTGCTACAAGTATTTTTAAATTACCTGTATCACAATTTTATTTGGCTATAATAATGATTATTATTTGATAATTTTCACATTCCGTTGGATCACCTTTCTTTGAAATGGGCATATAAATGGATCTCTTCTACTCATTTGGCCAAGTATAGCTGTCCTACAAATTGGCTTAGACAAATGAGTGCTTCCAGCACTGCAGTGGGTTGTTGAAATATTTCGGTTGGTGTTCCACCAATTCCTGGAGCCTGTTTTGTTTTGTTTTTTACCAGTACCTTCAGTGCAGCTTGGACTTCTTCCTTCAGTACCATTGGTTCTTAATTACATGTGACTTTCTGAAATGGTTGAATGTTAATCAGTTACTCTTGGTTTGCAGTGTGTATTATTTCAATTTTCTTTTGGTGCTTCTTGGGTCATCCAGTATTTTAACTGTAGAATCCTTTAATATTGCAACTCGAGACTTAATGTTTCTATTCAGTTCTTTCAGGTTGAGAAATGCTAAGTTTGTTCTTCTCTTTTCATTCTCTAACTCCAGGTTTTTGTACATTTCATTAAACACGTCACTTTGTCTTTTTGAGCTGCTCTTTTTGAAATCTTTTGTTCAGCTCTTTAACTTAATCATTGCTTCCATTTGCCTTGGCTGCTCTACAATCAAGAGCAAGTTTCATAATCTCTTCTGACATCCATTTTCACAGTTACTTTCCTGTCTTCTTCCTCACCCCAACAGTTTTATTGGCATATAACTTGCATGTCATACAATTCAGTAATTCAGTCACACCATGAAGAGTTGTACAATCAGTTTGGTGCTTCCTGGGTCATCAGCAGCACCATCAGTTTTGGAACGTTTTCTTCAGTCTTGCATTCATCGTTATTAGCTCCTCATTCCCCCCACAACCTGCTGTGCCATACCTGTAAGGAACAGTTAGCCATCCAGTTACTGTCTCTATAGAGTCACCTATTCTGGATTTCACATACAGGAAGACATTAAGAAATGAACAACAACAAACCCTAACAAGAATAACAAAGTAAAACATAAAAGCCTCATTTGAAAAGAAAGCAAAAAACAATAAAAACTAAAACAAATTTAAATGGCGCATAAGGAAGATCAAATGATAGAGTGCTAAATTATAACCTAACTGTATATTCAACAGTCCACTTCCCAATGCATTCTGCATGGGAGCAAAGCTATTCACATCCCTGGTCAATGGTCAGAGGGGGTTTACCAGGGGTTAATGCATGTGTATTTCCCCTTCACTGTATTTTTTAAAAATTGAAACAACTTTAAATAGGGTCTAAAGGGAGAGCAAATGATAGATTGCATTTTGACCTACTATGTCTTCCATAATTGATTTTAAATGCTCTCTGATTCCTGTCTTCTTTGATGATCTCTTGCTTTCTTCCTATTTGATGTCTTTGATGTTATTTCACAACTCATCTGATCTTTAGTCATTATTGGTCAGCGTCTCAGTTGTATTCTTAAGATGGTCTCTAAATTCATGTGGGATATACATGTATAGTTGGTATAGTTGCTGTTTATTTTATTAAAAAATGCATTTCCAAAGAAGAAGTTATTGGCCTTTTATTATTCACTCTGGCATTTCTACCACTAAGACAATCTGTTCCCACTACCCATTTCTCTCATTTGTTTCCATTTTCTCCATCCAATCACCAGTAATTACCTTTATATCTTGATTGCATGCTTGATCAATTTCAGATTGCATAAGTTGGTAAAAGTGTTCAAATTCTTCACCTTTGGCGTTAGTGATTGATGCATAAATTCAAATAATAGTTCTTTTAACTGGTATTTTTCTCTGACAGTGCTGTACTTCAGGATAGTCAGAAAACCCAGATGTAAAGGAAGGATCTTTAAGGATCTCTGGAAAACATAAGTTTGCTTTTCATTCTAGTTTGTATGTTTGGTGGCCTACGGGTAGATAACCCTTTTACAAAATCAGAGATTACTTCCTTACTTCACTCAGGAAGACTAAATGGACTGAACCTCACTGAAGAGCTTCCTAATTTCTCTTTCCTATTCCGCCAGTCAGAGGTTTCCATTCCTTCCGTCAAACCTTTCCGTAGAAAGGTTTCAGCAAGCTGATGAAGCATCAGAAGCACTCACTTCTCTATGCCAAGAAATGTGGAAGAGAGGCTACCTGGCCACCCACTGGAAGAGATCCGTAGTTGTGGCTGTTCTAAAGAAAGCCAACCCAACAGGATGTGGACATGTCAAACAATACCATTAATAGTGTGTGCAAGTAAACTTTTGCTGAAGATAATTTTAAAGTGGCTGCAGTGGTGCTTTCACAGGGAGCTGCCAGAAACTCAAGCTAGATTCACAAGAGGATCTCAGCAGCATGAGAGCTATTATTGCTGATGTCAAATAGATCTTGATGGAAAACAGAAAACAGAAGAAAGATGTTTACTTGTGTTTTATTGACTGTGCAAGTATTCGATTATATTGATTATGTCCACTGTGGGAGTCATAACAAACTATGGATAGCAGTGAGAAGAATGAGAATTCCCGGACACTTCATTATACTCATATGGAAAATGTAGATGAAACAAGAGGTCCAGACAGAACAGGGAACACTGTGTGGCTTAAAGTCAGGGAAAGCCTATGTATCTTCTCACCACAGTTACTCAATCTATATGCTGAGCAAATAATCTGAGAAGCTGGACTGTGCGAAGAATTCTGTATCAGGATTAGAGAAAGGTGTATTAACAGATGACAGCCTTGTTTGTTGAGAGCAAGGGCAACTTGAAGCACTAGTTGCTGAAAATCAAAGACTGAAGCTTTCAGTATAGATAGCAACTCAATGTAAAGAACACCAAAATCCTCACAACTAGACCAGTAGACAACATCATGATAAATGTAGAAGAGATTGAAATTGTCAGAGATTTAATTATATTTGGATTTCAATCAGTGCCTCTGGAAATAGCAGTAAGGAAATCTAAGGATGTATTGCATTGGGCAAATCTGCTGCCCAAGATCTTTGGTAAAGTGTTGAAGAGCGAAGATGTCATTTTGAGGACTAAGTGCACCTGACCCAAACCAAGGTATTTCCATTCAGCTAGAATGCATGTGGCGGAGCTCCAGTGGCTGCGAGGTCAGCAGTTCGAAATCACTAGCCAGTCAGAGAAAGATGGGGCTTTCTACTCCTGTAAAGAGTTACAGTCTTAAACTCATAGGAGCAACTTCTACCCTGTCCTACAGGGCCGCAGTGAGTCAGCATCCACTTGATGGTAGTGAGCTTGATTTTTAGAGAATGCATGTAAAAGTTGCATAGTGAATAAGGAAGACTAAAGAACAATTGATACATTTAAGTTAGGTGTTGGCAGAAGAATATTGAAAGTACGGTGGACTTCCAGAAGAACAAACCTTTCTTGGACAAAGTACCACTAGAATGCTCCTTAGAAGTGAGGATGGCTAGACTTTGTCTCATGTACTCTGACCATGTTACCAGGAAAGGCCAGTTCTTGGAGAAGTACTCATGTTTGATTAGAGGGGCAATGTAAGAACACAGCACCCTCCATTAGTTGGATTGACACATTGGTTGCAACAATGAGCTCAGTCTAACAACACTTGTGAGGATGGCGCAAGACTGGGCAGTGTTTCATTCTGTTGTACGTACTGCTACTGTGAGTTGGACTGACTCAGAGACACTTAGTGGCAGAAACAACTCTGGGACATAGTAGTGAGCGAACAGTCACAAGCCGTGCCCTCATGGAGCTATTGGAAGAGAACAGGTAAACAAGTAAAGTAAATCTGTAATTACAGGTTGAGAAAGGAAGACATGAATGGCACTCTCATTTAGTGGAGCAGGCAGGGTGAGCTCTTCTTAGTTGGGTGACTGGGAATAGGTTTCTCTGAAAAGGCATATTTAAAGCCAGAAAAGGACCCATCTATGCAAAGAGTAGAGGAGAAACTGTTCTAGATAGTGAGAACAGCATGGCCTGAGAGTCTTGTGGCTTTTAGGGACTGAAAGGAGACTGCTACTGCTGGACAGCGGCTTAGGATGAGGTTGGGTAGGCAAGCATGGAAGCTGTAGGAGAGGATTCTAGATTTTATTTTTAATGCAGTGGGAGCCTTTAAAGGACTTTAAGCAGGGGAGTAAGATGATCCGATTCATAATTCACAAGGATTACTGTGGCTTTTATTAATTGGTCAATGCACTGGGTCCAGTCAGAAACCACTGTAGTAATATAGGTGAGAGATGATGGTGGTTTAAATTAGGGCACATTAAAAAGAGAAGAGCCATGGATAGATTGAAGAACTGTTTTAGAAGAAAAATGACAGAGTGTAGTGTAGGACCGAGCAGTGTGCTTGTTTTGTTGTTCATAAGACCACAGTGAAGCCTCTTGACCTAATAGCAACACATTGCTTCATCAGTTGGGGATGGTCAGGAAAGTACTTCAGCTGAAAAAACAATTTATGTTAAAAGTATTCTAATTGGATATTGTTTTAAACAGCATTCAAAAATATGTATTTTAATACTATAAACAAGAAGAGTTTGAACTGCAAGGTTATGATTAGTGTTTATCAGAATTTTATAAAGAAGTAGAATTAAACCTTACTATCAATATCTAAATCATCAATGTTTTTTTTTTTCATTTTTTGGTTTTTTGAAGTAGAATTTCCTTTATACCTTTCTGAAAATGAAAACTGTATATGTTTAACTAACAGAATGAATGAAATTTGTGGTACTCATTGGGCATTTTCAGTATTATGTGTTGTAAGGCCATCATTCTAACGGTTTCCTCCCCCACAGAAATGACGGTAAAACAATAACACAGCCATTCTTTTCTCTTTTTATCATCTTGTCAGTTTGGACGTCATAGATTAAACCCAGAAAACAGAACACTGGGTAGTCTCCGGAATGTTCTCTATCTTCTGCACCAGCGAGTAAGGTGAGCTTTGTAGGTTCTCCACATTCCACAGCCGTCCATGCCATGGAGTGGCTAGACTTGCTTTCCCTGCCCTCCTGCCTTAACTATGGCAGTTTAGAAAACCTCGGCCTTGGGTGGTATACTCCGACATCTTGTCTTTTAGGAGCTAAGTACAGTATGACAACATTGGGGGAAATTAGGGAAGAGTTTGGGTCCTTATTCTTTGTTAGTTACAAATACAGAGAGCTCCTTTAGAAAGGGAGCCCTCCTGTAATATAATATAGGCCGTTCTGTCTGGGTAGTGTTTCCATCAGTGGCATATCCTATGACTTCTGTCGATGATAAGCAGGTGTTGGAAAGTAGTACTCATCATAGGAGGGGGTGGGATTGTAGGACGAGTAATAACAGGCTGGATCACCTTCATGATGGTGATGTTGATGATGGTAGGAGCAGTTAATGTAGGTCCTTGCTGTGTGCCAGACACTGAACTAGGTACTTTATGTGGATAACCTCACTTAATCCTTTCTTCCTATGAGACAGGCACTATTGTCATTTCTCTGTTTCACTCCAAGAAGCTGACACTTTGAGAAGTCAAATAAGGCAAGGGTCTACTTGGAAACAAAAGCTGCTGTTACTTTATTTCTGTGCCTAAATAAAAGGTACTTTTACAATAAGTAGATTTATTGTAAAAATAGAGTATGCTGGGGATTAAAAAATAAAATAACAAACAAGAAATTGGCATAAAATGAAATAAATACCTAACCAAATATTGGTGAGGCTTTGGAGCAACAAGAACTTTTTGCATTGCTGGTGGGAATATCCAGTTGTACAACCACTTTGGAAAACAGTTTGGCATTTTCTTAAAAAGTTTTAACATATACCTACCAAAGGGCCCAATCATTCTACTCTGAAGTATTTACCCAGGGGAAATGAAAGCATTTGTCCGCATAAAGATTTGTACATAAATGTAGATCATGACTTCTTTTGTAGTAGTCAAAAACTGGAAACAGTCCAAATGTCTTTCATTGGGTAAATAGATTCACAAGCTGTGATTTATCTTTATAATGGAATATGACTCAAATAAAAAATAAGGAACTACTAATACATGCAGTCGCATGGGTGAATGTCAAAATAGATCTGACTAAAAGAAGCCTGAGGCCACTGGAGACCCCCTTGCAGAGGGGTCTCGGGGAGAAGACGAGCCAGTCAGGGTGCGATGTAACAACGATGAGAAATACAACTTTCCTCTAGTTCCTAAATGTTTCCTCCCTGCTCCCACTACCATGACTCAAATTCGACCTTGCAAGTCTGGCTAGACCAGAGGATGTACACTGGTACAGATAGGAACTGAAAATACAGGGAGTCCAGGGCCGATGAGCCCTACGGGACCAGTGGTGTGAGTGGTGATACTCGGAGGTTAGAGGGAGAGTGGGTAGGAAAGAGGGAACTGATTACAAGGAACTATATGTGACCTCCTCCCTGGGGGATGGACAACAGAAAAGTGGGTGAAGGGAGACGTCGCACAGAGCAAGATATGACAAAATACCAATTTATGAACTATCAAGGGCTCATGAGGGAGTGGGCAGCGGGGAGGGAGGGGGAAAATGAGGACCTAATGCCGGGGGTTTAAGTGGAGAGGAAATGTTTTGAGAATGATGAGGGCAATGAATGTGCAAATGCGCTTTACACAATTGATGTGTGTATGGATTGTGATAAGAGTTGTATGAGCCCCTAATAAAATGATTTTTAAAAAATTAAAATAAATAAATAAAAGAAGCCTGAGGAAAAAGATTCATACTACATGATTCTATTTATAGAAAAGTTTAGAAAATGCAAAACGACTTGATTGTAGCAGAAAGCAGAAGAGTGGTTATCTGGGGCTGGGGCTGTGGGGGGAGGGGACATGAAGACCCCTTGAGCTTAATGATGAGTTAACTGTGTGGTTTTAAGAAAGTGGACACGAGTCAGAACTCATCAAATTGCAGTAAAAAATTGCATTTCAGGGAAGGTATAAATAAATACATCTATACATGTTCTCAGCATGACTTCTTTGCTCTGTCTCACGGACTCAGTGCTCCAGGCAGGGGTCTGACGTGCACTTCTTTGGTGGCTCTTCTTTCTTTTTTTTCATCATTTTATGGGGGGGCTCGTACAGCTCTTACATCACAATCCATACATCCATATATTGTGTCAAGCACATTTGTACATATGTTGCCATCATCATTTTCAAAACATGTTCTTTCTACTTGAGCCCTTGGTTTCAGCTCATTCCATCCCCCTCCCTCATGATAGTTTATAAATTCTTTTTTCATGTCTTACACTGACGGCTGTCTCCCTTCACCCATTTATCTTTCATCCGTCCCTCTGGGAGGGGATTATATGTAAATCATTGTGATGGGTTCCCCCATTCTACCCCACCTTCTCCTTCCCCTCCTGGTATTGCTACTCTCATTATTGGTCCTGAGGTATTTATCTGTCCAGGATTCCCTGTGTTTCCAGTTCTTATCTGGACCAGTATACTTGCTTTGGTCTAGCTGGATTTGTAAGGTAGAATTGGGTTCAGGATAGTGGAGTTGGGAGGCATTAAAGAACTAGAGGTAAGTTGTCTGTTTCATCGGTGCTATACTGCACCCTGACTGGCTTGTCTCTTCCTTGTGACCCTTCTGTGAGGGGATGTCCAATTGTCTACAGATGGGCTTTGGGTCTCTACTCCACACTCCCCCTCATTCACACTGATATGATTTTTTGTTCTCTGATACCTGATCCCTTCGACACCTCGTGATAACAAAGGCTGGTGTGCTTCTTCCATGTGGACTTTGTTGCTTCTGAACTAGATGGCTGCTTGTGTATCTTCAAGCCTTTAAGATAAGGTGACCAGACATCCCACTTTTGGTGGGACAGTCCCGATTTTTAACAATTTTTCCCGCGTCCTGCGGCGTTTTAAAAAAGGGCCAATGTTTTGAAAGAATGCACGACAAGCTAGGGTATATGGTTTTTGACTGCCATGTGGCTATTTCGCCAGGATATGAGTTTTATCAATGGTGTCCCGCTTTACCAATGTTAAAATCTGGTCACCTTACTTTAAGACCCCAGATGCTATATATTTTGATTGCTGGGAACCATCAGCTTTCTTTATCACATTTACTTATGCACCCATTTTGTCTTCAGCGATTTTGTCAGGAAGGTGAGCATCGCAGAATGCCGGGTTATTAGAGCAAAGTGTTCTTATGTTGAGGGAGTACTTGAGTGGCTCTTCTTTCTTGATGATTGTGAGATTCTCTGTTACTGCTTCTGAGATGGCTCATATACTCAGTGGAATGCCAAAATTGACTAATCCCCACGTTAGAATCTTCTATGCCTTGTTTGCATGTGCCTACCCAGGGATTTGGTGGAGTTACAAAGACTGTGGATATTGTCTTTGCTAGGTGCCATTGGGTTGATTCTGATGCATAGCAACCTGTGTACAACAGAGCAAAACACTGCCAGGTCCTGAGCGTTCCTTGCATTTGTTCTTATGTTTCAGCCCATTGTTTCAGGCTCTCTGTCAATCCATCTTGTTGAGGGGCTTCCTTTTTTCCCGCTGCCCCTCTGCTTTTCCAAGCATGTTGTCCTTCTCCAGGAACTGATCTCCTGTGGCAACATGTACAAAATACATGAGACAAAAATCTCGCCATCCTTGTCTCCAAGGAGCGTTCAGCTTGTAATTCTTCCAAGACAGATTCATTTGTTTTTCTTTATGGCATGGTACTTTTAATATTATTTCCCAGCACCATAATTCAAAGCGCTTGTTCTTCTGCCTTATGGATAGAGTGCCATACTAAGTGATTTCACTTCACTACAATTACATTAAACTTAAAAGATATATATTTCTTTTTTGAAAAATCATTTTATAGGGCTCTAATAGCTCTTATAACAATCCATACATCAATTGTATCAAGCACACTTGTACTATGTTGCTATCATCATTTTCAAAACATTTTCTTTCTACTTGAGCCCTTGGTATCAGCTCCTCTTTTTTCCCCTCCCTCCCCCATGCTTCCACCTTTGTGAATCCTTGAAAAATTATAAATTATTATTTTCATATCTTACACCATCTGCTGTCTCCCTTCACCCACATTTCTGTTGTTCATCCCCATCAGGGTAGGGGGTGTTATACGTCAATCATTGCCATCAGTTCTCCCTTTCTCCCCCTCTGCCCCCACCTTCCCCTTACCCTCATGGTATTGCTACTCCCATTTTTGTTCCTGAGGGGTTTATCTGTCCTGGATTCCATGTGTCAAGAGCTCTTATCTGTACCAATGTACATGCTCTGGTATAGCCGGATTTGTAAGATAGAACTGGGGTCATGATAGTGGAGGGAAGGAAGCATTAAAGAACTAAAGAATGTTGTGTGTTTCATCAATGCTATGCTGCACTCTGGCTGTCTGTTCCTTCCTGGTGACCCTTCTGTGAAAGGATATCCAGTTGTCTACAGATGGGTTTTGGGTCTTCACTCCGGTCCCCCTCATTCACATTGAAATGATTGTTTGTTTTGGGTCTTCCGATGCCTGATACCTGAACCTGGCAACACCTCGTGATCACACAGGCTTGTGTGCTTTTCCATGTGGGCTTTACTGCTTCCCTGCTAGATGGCCGCTTGTTTAACTTCAAGCTTTTAAGACTCCAGACGCTTTATCTTTTGATAGCCGGGCACCATCAGCTTTCTTCACCACATTTGCTTATGCACCCATTTTGACTTCTGCCATCATGTCGGAAAGATTAACGTCACAGAATGCCAGCTTATTTAGAACAAAGTGTTCTTGCATTGAGAGAGGGCTTGAGTAGAGGCCCAATGTCTGTCTGCTACCTTGATACTTAACATATAAATATACATACATAGATTTATATTCCTATTGTCATATATTAATATATTTACATAAATACATGCATATATTTATACCTCTGTAAATGTCTTTTCCCTTTTAGTTCTCTCCTCTATATCCTTTTACTTTCCACCTGCCTTACTGTTATGTTTGACCTTC